ACGCTAAATACTCAGAATCCCAGGGGTCATCTGCTTACCGGTGAGTGCTGAGTATTCCTATAGTTCTCCACCACTCGTCATGGAGTTGTACATGTGAGAGGAATTCGGTCGAGGAAATAAAAGCGAATGAGAATAGTAGTTTGATTTATCTATATTTGGTGAACGGGGCATGGACGAACCGCGACCAACTTCACCACCCAGATGTTTGCAAATTTCGATCCTTCACTTCAGTATCCGAACAGTAGGAACAGTCATTCTGAGGTTGAGGCCTTACGACTAAGGTGTCCCAATCAGAAGTGCATACATGAGCAAACTTGTTGCACTGGTTGACTATACTACTGAAAGTTCATATATTGTACTGTATCGTTACTCGGATAGAGCACGACAGTTCTAGTAAACGCGAATTCATGTGCCTGGAATCAACCGCTGAACAGGATTTGTTATACAACGTCAACCTGTCACCTGTATCATGATAAAGCTTTGAAAGCACTGTATAACTTTGTCACCATCTCAACAAAACTGAATTTCATCACATTTGTTTATCCCAACGCTGTGTTCCGAGCTTCATTCACGGGGAATGAATATGATATGGCCACAGATCAGTTGTAACATATGTGAACACTACAGGCAACCACTTTTTGCATGGAGACCGCCAAGTTAACTGTTCAGCTTCCTCCAATATATGCCACGTCCTTATTTCTAACACGCAGATGTTTTCCATTACATTCAAATCCCAACTGCTGAGCGGGGTAATTCGACAGGAATTCGACACTGGACTTGGCCTATCTAGAAACTGCATAAATGTAAAAAAACTAATATTTAATAAGGTTGAACTATTTTCACATCCAACCTCGTGCGAGAATATATATATATATATATTAATCTTCATCTCTGAAAAATATGACTTCTGCGGATGCACTTTGAGAGTGACAGTTATGAAAAATCAGTACAAGAAATTTAACGATATCCAGATTGTTTTGTACGGTGATAGAAATAGAACGAGGAACATAGAAGTGCGAGATAAAGTTCGGAATAAATACACTTAACTCATAGTCATCAAAGTACATGTATGATATTGGAAACTGGAATGTATTTCCGCGAGGAGAGTCAGGACGCACGAGTTTAATCAACACTCGTATTTGTACCGAACTTGTCACGATCTGTAAGTTCCACACGTCACGTTTAAACTGCTGGAATTGGCTTCTCAGCAGTTTTTGTTCTCAAGACGAGGCCACGTAATTATCCTCTTCAGCCACTGGACGGTGACCACCATCACTTCAGAGAGTGAAGCGCATCGACTCAGTGCTATTTTACTGTGACAAGTCCATTTCGTACCATTCAAGCCACCACTGATCAAATACCCTCCACACACACACACACACACACACACACAATATAGCCGCTTTTAAAGAAACAGATCGATATTTCCGATGACAATCAGTTCCGAATCTATTTTTCATACTCTGCATGATATGTATTAATTAGTAGTTTAGCGTTTTTGATTTATCCAATACAATTGTGTGGAGGTTTAAACTTTGATGGCTCAGGTACATAAGCAAAAACTGAGTCACTCATGTCTAGTTTGTGTGATTGTGATATTCTGTCATCCAATCGATGTGCTCCGACCAAACATGTCTCATATTGTACTACCTTGTCTATGCAGTTACACATCTTTATAAGAATCTTTCAGATATTCCCCAGGGGTCTTCAAATTACATACTGTTTCTGTACTCTCTTGTTCAGGATCCGGACAAATTCAACTGTGGCAATTTCTGCTCGAACTTCTATCGGATCACCAGAATATGCAATGTATCACGTGGGAGGGCACAAATGGTGAATTCAAACTGGTCGATCCGGACGAGGTGGCACGAAGATGGGGAGAGAGGAAGTCTAAACCGAACATGAATTACGATAAACTTAGTCGAGCTTTACGCTACTACTACGACAAAAATATCATGACCAAAGTTCATGGGAAGCGTTACGCGTACAAATTCGATTTCACTGGTTTAGCCCAGGCTGTACAATCGGCAGCGGCAAATCCAAATCTTGGAGTAGACGGTGAATTCCGTTTAATTCATCCCGATTATTCGACACGACTATTCTCACCGGCATTTTCCAGTCGTCCGAGGCCGGAAACTCCGGACTCTTTCAATCTGATGGCTGCCGCTGTGGCTGCTGTAGAGCGACATCATCATCATCATCATCATCAACAACAACAGCAACAACATCAACAACAACCTCATCAACAGCAACAGCAACAGCCACACCATCAGCACCAAAATCAACTACCATCGCAACCACCACCACTACCACCCTCCGCATCATACGGAAATACTCATATCGAGTCCAACGGCTATGATGTAAATTTTCTCCACACAGCAGCTACCGCGGCTGCTATGGCTGCAGCAAATAGCTGTGGTTTTACCAGTTCTTCTTTTCATTCAGGCAATACGTCATGCACCGCAGTACCAACAACTACAACCACAAATGCGACCACAGTATCACTCAATACCACAATAAAAACGGAACGTGGCAGTGATGAACACGAACCAATGCTTAATGGTGATCTATGGCAAACCCGATTGCATCATGATACAGGTGCAGAATCCGTGCGCAATCAACCTGAATCACCGACTCATCCTGTTCGTACAAATTTTCCCCTGTTCCCTAATTTTGATTACAGTTCGGTCCGATCCACATTTCTGACCCCTTGGACGGGAGATGTGAGTTCCAGTGTGGCGGAGAATGTGATTCCAGCCACGACCACGCCGACCAGTACGACCAACTACTTCTCAGGAAGAATTACACCACCGAACGTGTCCCCATTTCATGGTGCTTGTGGTACCGAGTTACAACAACAACAACAACAACATCAACAACAACAACAACAACCTAGGGCTATACCATTTACCTCCAGTTTGGATTCTCATCCAGAATGCCCAACTCGGGAGAAGTCAGCTTCTCCGGCAAACTCCGTACCCGACGCAGAGCCAATCGGGTCCACTGATTTATCCACAATCTTGTGCACATCAGATGAATCATCCAGCAGAAGGTGCAAATGGGAGCAGCCTCAAGGTACATCGGCCTCTTCCACGCATCTTTACTCAAATTCCATGAATGCATCATGGACCACAGCAACTACGCACCCAAACTCATCCACACTTTCTGAGATCCCCAGTCCAACAGAAAACAGACCACAATATGGGGCAGCCTGATGACTGTTTGGGATCAGGATGAACTATCATGTCAGACATTTTGAGTCCCAAGGGATCAAGAAAAGCTTTTATGCCCTAAGGTTTCAAACCCTCTCCCTCCCCCAGTCCCTGTCACACACACTTAGACAAACAAGAACGCACAATTTTTGTCCTATACAGCCGAATTCGGGCTTTCACACCAACTCAGGTACCGGGAACACTGTACGTACAACCACAAGCCGCGAAGCCACTACTCACAATTATCATCTGCAAGCGACAGTCACGTGTGTGTATGTAGTTCTGCGGTTAAAAGTCTCCCATTCATCATCTATTGTAAAATTCTTCAAACACTCTTTGACGAATCCCTTATTGTCTACAATTACTTAATTCATCCATGAGATCGACAGATTGATATTTCTGTGTATGCGCGTGTGTGTGTGTGTGTTTGTGTGGTCAACTTATGGTGGCAGTGTTGTAGTTATATGATAACAGCGATCAACTTGATGAGTCCATTTCACAAACTTTCAACATAATCAATTTTTGTTTGTTTGTTTTGTTTTGTTTTCTATCTGACAGGTTGTTTTCTGAAAAGTGTACTCATGTAAAACGATTGCACGCATCCACAATAAATTGTGTTCAAGATGGGCTTTTTTATTTGATTCCCAAACAAGAACGTGTTGAATATTTGATCTCAATTCGATCGTTGCGAGCGTGCGGGAATGTGTGCGTGGCAAAACAATTATCAGTGGTTCAAGAAAATAACATTTCACTAGAGTAATCGAGGATTGGAATCAATTTCAAGTGAAAATTAGTCGTCGTATATATATATATATATATATATATATATATACGACGACTAATTTTCACTTGAAATTGATTCCAATCCTCGATTACTCTAGTGAAATGTNACATTTCACTAGAGTAATCGAGGATTGGAATCAATTTCAAGTGAAAATTAGTCGTCGTATATATATATATATATATATATATATATATGCAAAATGAAGCGTGAATCGAAAAGCTAGGGAGCACTGGGCAGCTGTTTCGACCAGGTTGGATCTTTTCGACAGTTTTCAGTTTCTGTATAACCAATAACCATGCACTATCGTGCATCCGCGTTGGTTAGAAAAAGACACGAAAGGTTGAAAGTGGAATCGAAGAGAACGTTTATAAAGTACAGTGAACTAATATTACAGAGAAATTGAGAAGATGCACGAAAGCCACTGTTTACGACACTCAGCCATATCACTGGAGTACGATCATCCCGAGGTTCCCAGCCAGGGAGCCTAATGGGACCTATGTAACTCAGACTCCTGGTTAGGGTTTTCATACCCTCACGCCAGGTCTTAGCTTGATCACCCTTGGCTTTCTTCCACCCACTAGCTGCCTCGGCGAACATCGCTCGCCGTGGCAACCGATTTGGTGACATGCTTCACGCGTACCCCAACCAACGTAATCTATGGAGATTGACTACTTGTTCCAGTGGGCGACCGCGGTTACCTAAAACTCTGCGTCTAACCGCAGCATTGCTCGTCCGGCAACCCCACGAGATTCGTGCAGTGTTGCGTAAACGATGGTGTTCAGACCCCGACAATATCTCTTTATCCTGTTTTCTTAATGGTCAAGTTTCTGCTCCATCTAGCAGAACTGGTGTAACTGCAGTAGCATTCGACATTCGACCCCTTTATAGACAGCCGGATATCGCGAATCCATCAATTTAACTGGGGATCGAACCCGGGACCTCACAGGTAGAATGCAAGCATGCTACCCACTCGGCCACCTGATCAGACCGTGTTTTTTATTTTCCATTTACACGATATAGCAACAACCCATCTTTGCGAGCTCGTTACAGATTGCTACAGGCTTCGCTCATCTCAGCACTAGTCTGCGGGGTTATGACTCGGTTGGAAACATTCACAATCTGACTACTTGTTTCATGTGAACAATGGAGGGTGATGAAGATGGTGACGATGGAAATGAAAATACTTGATTAGCAACTTTTGAAATCAAGTTCATTGGAGTCAAGTGCATGGTTTATGCAGCCCGGGAGGTGAATATCCAGCAGCCACGTAGTCAGAGTAGAACCACCACNCCCCCCCCCCCCCAAAAAAAAAAAAATAAAAAATAAATAAAAATAAAAAAATTAAAAGGACACCAGAATTTGGGAAGGCAAAGACAGAGGACAAAACATAATTTACGAATATGAGTGAGTTTAGTTCCAAAACGATGTGTTCTGGGTTACAGAATAAATCGTGTAGGATAAGGCATCACAGAAGAC